CAAAATTACGGATCCCCTTAGAACCGGATATCCTCCGAGTTTAAAACTCGTACACGTATTCGTGCCACGTGCTCCTTATTACGCGTCGTTTCGCCGTCCGATCCGTCGGAAGACGCCCCCGATTCCAACCGATCCGAATCGACGATTTACAAAATCGAGAGCGACGCTCGACGTACGATGGCCAACCCGGAAAAATTCCTGTGGTTTCTCTTTTTCGCGACGTTTCGTTGCCTCGGTTAATCGAGCGTCAACCCCACGGACCACGAGCTTCCGTGGACACGCGGAAACTTTTGATCGGTAATGTATGTTCCGAGGGGGAGAATATCGACGAAGCGATACCACCGAGGTTGTTGCTGCTCCCACCGCCGTTCGTCTTCGATAGATTCATCCCTGTTCGCGTAATTTCGACCGGGATACTTACCGGTTCGACTTTGGGGGGTGCCGTACAATAGCTCCAAACGAGAGCAATTTTCCCGCGGCTTATTAGCGGCGAATCGAACTGTTCACCCCTTAGGCCGTGGAATAAATTGCGATGTAAATTTCGATGAAATCCGTATTCGCGGAACTACACGACACGTAATCTGCGACACGGTCGTTGGGTTATCGATAGCGCGCCACGACGAGAGTCCTACGATTCGGACCCGACTCGATCGCGAAGACTACTTACCCGTTTCGATATCCTCGATCGTAGGTACGACGTATCATCTTCGTTCTATTCAACCTTTCGATTCCATTGTCAACTGTGACTCGACATGAATTTCATTCACAGATACTCTTATGTCGAATCACACTCGATATTTTTAAATTACCAGTTTATATATGTATTACATTTTGCATTACTTTTTTTTTACTTACACTTATATGGCCCTTTGAAAACTGTTTCAAACGTTATCACACACTCTTCAAGGCTCCAAATGTAAAAAAAGGTGAACTATAGGTGTTTTTTGTATTTAGGTACATATTTGATTTTTTTATCTATTAGCTTCTAATGTTATTATTGAATATATGCTATAATAATTAATAAAAAAAACATGGTTGTCTTTTGAAATAGATTCGGAACAAAACACCTAAAATAATAGGGAGTATTGAAATGAAAATTAGAAAAGAATTGGGAGTGTAAAGGGTTAAATACCATGCGGGGATGAAACGGACGGTTCACAAGCTTTCTCTCGCTGTAGACGGCTAGTGCGCTTACCATTACGTGTACCTATAGATCATACTACTTGGAAGAGGAAGAATCGCCAACGATTCGGTTAGTTCAACGAATTAAAGCGAAAAGTTTCGAGTTCCATTCCGAGTCCGATACCCGATGGGGCGGCGCCGCGGCTGTTCGGTTTCTATTCTCCCTTACACGACGCAGTCGATCAGAATTTCACGAATCGTCGGGATCCTCGCAGCTGCAACGTAATTAGTTAGTTTATATTAAACGAACGAACGCCTAGAATCGTCACCTGCCACGTGTCGATATTCGTATCGACGAAACTTTCGATTCGTGGAGCCTATGTATATGTGGTATATGTGGTAAATGCAGTCTACGATTTACCGAGGGGACCAACGGGGGTGGGTACACGTGAACGTTCGGGAATACTCAAAATACGAGACATCGGACCCATATGTTGGCTATCTCGCGAGCTCGTCGAACGATTTCCCCTCCAAAGGGAAGCAAAATTCGCATCGGTTATTCCGCACGCGCGGAAATGATATCGCGTTTTGCAGAATAGCTACGTGTCAACCAATGAACGTAGGTAACCGCGAAACGGCACGTCTGCCTATCATCGCCTGCTATCCACTACGAGACAACGTTCATCCTTCGTTTCTACGCCTGTCACGGTACACGGCTATTCGATATCCACGGACCATCAGATCGTGCAACACTCGAGACAGGTTATCGGAGATCTAACACGGCATTACTTCGTGTAATCTAGACGAGCAGCTTCTTAGTGGTTGGAAGCAGCGTCGGTTTACCGGTGTATCCAATGGCTGATTGTTATTAATACGCTGTACTTACCGTCTAAGCACAACCCGACGCGCCACAGCCCGTCGACGTTTATGTTTACGCGCGTTGACTGGTTACATTACAGGCCACAGCCACACTCGACGCTTCCCAGAGACAAACTCGACCAGTGATTGATTTATGGCCAAATTCTGCTACGTATCGTTGATCGGAACAAAAAATTGAAAACCATGCTATTTCGTGCGAATAGCAGGGGAAAACAATTCTTGGAAACTAAACTCATCGTTGCATCGAAATCGGCAAAAGAAATCGTCGCGCGTGAATACGAAAGCGATAACGTTTGCTCGAGCCGAATCGATTCATGGAAATATTTTACGTTCGCGGTTACCTCGACGTTACATCGGAAAGCATCTGTTCCGTCGATCGGATCGATTCGCGGTCTATTATTCCCTGAGCACGCTGTCGTTCTGTGTCGACCAACGAGTTATTTTTGCTTTTCAATTAAAACGAGAGGGAAAAAAACTATCGTACAGCTATCGTAAAAAATTAACGATTCCCGACGCAGAGTAAAAAATAGCTCGGTAAATTCGAACACTCGCCGCCAATCGGAGCACGGCGTCCCGAATAAATTGCGAATGAAACTGCAGCGGCGACGATTGAGAGGACACGAGAAAGCTGACACAAGCTACATAATCGCAGGAATCAAGCCGATGCAAAATGCGTTCCGCCGAAACCACGGTTTCACGGCGCAGCGCCGTGAGTCATCCTGGTCGTCGATAATTGTTATTCCTAGAAGCCATAGTTTACGAACATTCCGCTTTTATGTACCCTGGTCTGCCTTGCCTTGCCTCGGCCTGCTTCGGTCGTTTTATTAACAACGCCCACGTACCTACAAACAATTTCTTCATCCTTCTGTCGTAACGAGCAGAGTTACGACGAGCCAGGCTTCTGGCCCGTCCGCGTCGAAACATTATTTTCTTTACGATCGCGGATTTGCACGCGAATTCGTAATGGGTCCCCTCTGAATGCTTGAAAAATTTTGTTTCGAAAAATTCGTTTCATCGAGACGTTGGACATCGACGTAAAACCGAAACATCTCACGCGTAAACACGAGGTTCCCGGAAACAGAGAGGTCTGCGGTTTATCGTTGTTTTTCCGCGGTAACATGACGGGGCTTTCACGCTTCTAGACGGTAGTTTATCGTTTATCGGGGAATAGAGAGCGAAGCAACGTGTTCGTTGCCGCGTCGAGATTCGAATCAAGGAAAAGAACATTCTCCTCTAACTGTAAACTCACCGTGCTCGCGCTGTGTTTCATTAGACTAATGGATTTCGAGGCGCGAAAGATAAAGGCTGGCGCGGAAACTTTCAAACACACGCGCACGTCCGATGTGATGCGGAGAATGCCGCGTGCGACCAAACCCCGCTCGCGGTTACTTCGGCGAACGAATGTCTTCCCAGTTTCTCTTCGAATGGCTGCAACTTTTAATACGTTGACTGCCACAGTGAAAAGGGCCGTACACAACCAGACATGCTTTTCTTCATTTTTTAAGTCGTAAATCGTCGTAAATATATGCGTCCAGTTAACAGAGTCTGTTGGTGTTGTTTAAAATTATACCGCGATATTAAATTTACGCAAAAATTTTGTAACGATATTTAAATAATCCAGTCTCTGTACAATGTACGTGTCACCCGTATTTCGGTGACGTGACAGGCAAAGTGTTAATTAGTCGGCAATAAACGTGACATACGTCGTGAAGATGTCGACGCGTTTGGACGGATGTTTTCGAGCGGCATACAGTTGCGAAACCTTTCGTTTGAAATTTCTAAACGAAAAACATGTACATTCGTGCAAATAATTATAATTACCGATTCGAATGTTTCAAGGGGTTTGTCCGATTTTGTCTGATCAATGACGAGCGAACCGCGTTCGTGAAATTAAGGGAGAAATTCCGATACGCCCCTTTTCCTCGAAAATTCTCGAATTACGCGTCGGTCGCCGGTCGCCGCGAAAGACGCTTAATCGTGGGAATAAAGCGAGCTCCACCGTAGTCCCGTGGTCGAGGAAAATTAAACGTTAAATCAGGTTTAAAAGCCTTTCTCGGGGCAATCGCGTCATTTCTGGACCAAGGAGCCTTAATTACCAAGATATTAAAATACTCACGGCTATTGTGGCCGAAGCATACCTCCTAGTTCTCTAGGCATCTCGCGAAGAGAAGAAAACGGTTTCGTCGGAAACGAAGCGCAGACGCGTCCCTGGCAAGTTTCCTTCGCGAACGTGGTCTCGCGAGGCGAAATTTCTCGGTTGCCTCTTTACCGTGTAATTACCCGTTATATACATAAACATCGGGGGCGCATTCGCGTACCGTGACGATGGTTAATTCGATACAGGTTTGCGGTATTGCGGTCCACGCGGCGCTGTACGTACCGACCAGACGAGCACGCGACCGGATGATCACCGGACAACCGAACGAACGGACGAACAGACGGATTGGTTTGGTTTTGGTTTTGGTTTTGGTTTTGGTTTTGGTTTTGGTTTCGGTTTAGTTCGGTTCGGTTCGGTTCGGATCCGTTCGGTTCGGTACGAATCGAGACATACATATAGCAGACCGTACGTCGTATACCGTACCGGATGAGTCTCTCGTCGATTCACGGTGGCTCGCAACCATCTCCTCGCCCGTTCTCGAATTCTCCTGTACGCTATTACGGTAACCAGTAGTCGAATGGCCTGTTCCGCCTTCGGAGTCGCGAATCTTCCTCCTCCCTGTTTGCGCCTTTAGTTTTCGAACCGTCTTCGTCGTAACCGGATTCGTTGTTCCTTTGTCTTTCGATCTTAACCGCCGAAACGTCGGCGGCGGCGGCGGCGGCGGCATTGTCGTGGGACTATTTAGTTTACTCGACGATTCGGGTTGCTTGATACCATACAACAGAGCAACTCGTTCTCCCGGCGTTGTTTATCGGAAAAATCGTGGCCAGCCAACGCCAACAATCAAAGGGTTCGAAGAACGCGGAAAGAGAAGAGAACAACTGGGGCCGCGTCGCGCGGCATGGTACACTACGGGTGCACTAAAACCGATAGCGGTGGAGTCGAGTGCTTCGTCGAGTTCAGTGAGACATCAAGTTACTCGATCCGTTTTCCCGGTGCCCTGCTCTGACGGCTCGAGACACGAAAGCGGCGAAATCGACGAGAACTTAAGCTTACATATATGCGCCTAATTGCCTTCTCTGGTTGATTGTGTAGGTATCCGTGAAACACATTTTTACCCAATTGTAAGATCTGTTACGTTCGCGTTTACATTCGTTATACTTGCGAATGCGTCGTCGTCGTCGTCGATTTCTTCTCTAGCTTTCGCTCGTTCGCCAAACTCGTTGCACTTTCTTCTCGTGGTTCGCTTCGTCCAGGGACGATCTGGTGGAAAGAAGCCCGAAAGATTCGTATCTTTCGGTACGGTAGAATTAACGAGAGAAGCTGTCGACGGGCGGCGAACGGATTGCTATTTCGACAGCCGTTCACCTTTCACGCGCAAAATATCATGGACGATGTACGAGAAATGTGGTCCATCCTCGACAAAAGAACACCCTGTATCGGTCTAACGATAAGCTAAACGTGCAATCAACGACAAATCCTTCCATCGAAACTACCTACTCGTTAATCATTTGCGTGATTCGAAACGGTCAGTTGTGTCGGAAAGCAATCTCGTTCGAGCTGTTCAGCTTGCGATCAATGTTCTTCGTTCACCCTTATCTCTCTTTCGCATTGTTGTTCTTCCGTTGCTGCTTCCTTCCCCACGGCAGAAGAATCCACGATTGGTAACTCGGAAAGGACGAAAGAGAATAAAGTTGGCGTAATGACGAGATGCGTCGAAGTTTTCGCAACCATTGGATCGTTTCTCCTGGTGCTGGTTACGCTCCCGTTCTCCCTGTGCTTCACCTTCAAAGTCGTACAAGAATACGAGAGAGCCGTCGTTTTCCGAATGGGTCGCTTAAAAGGAGACGCATGTGGTCCAGGTAGGTAATAATTCCGCGACCTCGTGTTTTTGAAACGAACGCAAGTGTGTTCCCGGGCTACGAATTGTCTTCGCGCTAACATTCATTTCTCAATAGCTATCACTCGTGATTCGTCGAATTTTCAGTTTACTCGTAAATTATAACGGCCCTGAGATTACCGTAGTTCGTGTAACGTTTAAATGTTATTACTTGACACGCACCGAGTCGTTATCGAATACAAGTCGAAACAACAACATTTCGTTCGAACAATGGTTGTGCAGATGTGTAAATCGATGCGCAAACGATAAGTTTATTGTCACGCGATTCTACGAGCGTGTCGTTCAGCTCGTCGAACGTGTACCTCCTGTGGTATACAGTGGGGGACAAAAGTATTCGTACACCCTTTAAAACGGAACAACTTTTTTCAAATTGATCCCAGTGACTTCAGTTTTTTTGTGAAGTTAGGTACATTAGTTTACTAAATGATGTGTAAAAAGAAATATGAAAATGTTGCAATTAGTCCGAATCGCGAAGAAAATAGTAAAGGTCGCGTGTTACAACTTTTCTATTTCAGACTGTAATGAAAATTTAATAAATACATATCGAAGATTTATGTTGGTTGTATACATGTTGCAAAATTTCATGAAAATCTAATTTGAAAAAAGTTGTTCCTTTTTAAAAGGTGTACGAATACTTTTGTCCCTCGCTGTATGTACTTGGAAAACTTGGAAGCCGCTTCAAATAGCCTCGCTGTCGATAGGAACGTTCTTCGTTATGCCATGCATCGACACCTGCGTACGAGTCGACCTGAGAACCGTGTCCTTCGATGTCCCGCCGCAGGAAATTCTCACCAAGGATTCCGTAACGGTAACCGTCGATGCGGTCGTCTACTACCGCATTAAAGAGCCACTGAGCGCCGTTGTCAAGATCGCCAATTACAGGTATACTCGAAGCCGTTTCTCTCCATTCTCTTACTCTTTCCGTTTACCTTTTCTTTTCTGTCGGCGCGTTTGCGACAAGCAGTACGGATTCGGAGAGCAAAGGAGATCTCGAGGAAAAATCTTACGAATCGTTTCGTTTTTATTCGATGCGGAAAACTCCTAAAATAGAGGTAAAAGACGAAAGAACGTCGCCGTTCGTTTTCGATTGGCAGGCGGTACGAAAAACGTGCCTCCTCGAGGTTATCCTCTATCGGCGAGGAATATTTTTCTTTTTAAGGTCTCCGTGTACCGAGTGAAAAGTCTGTTCGGTGATCACGCAACTGGAAAATTCACTAAAATTCCGTGGATATTAGTTAGCAACCGTCTCCGACGAGAGACCGTCGAGATGCCGGAGTTAATAAACCCGACGACGGAGAACGGTCTTATCCCAAGAAATACGGAAACGTTCCGAGCTTGCGCTTCTTCCCCATGGGCACGAACGTCGAACGAAGAACAAACGAAATCTCGCGAAGGCAACAGGGCTCGATGTTGCCGGAACACCGTGAATTAATTGAAATTCCTTACGCGACCGGGTTAATTAACGCGTATACGATTTTCTGAAATTTTAATTAGCATCTCGATGACCGTACAGTTCCGAGAGACAATCTCATCCTGTCTCGAGAGCGAATCAACGACGGTGGAGAAAAATGAGAAGGACGGCTCCTCCTCGAGGGGTTACGAGGGCGTGTCGAAATTACTTGGATAATTTGTGCCGGAGTGGCGCGTGCAAGTTGCGCGACTCTATCGATCGAATCCACGATAGCTCAACGTTAGACGTAGGAATTCGATCTAGATCTCGACGGAAGTTTTCCCGTGTATCGTTCTCGCGGCCAATTTCTTCCTGAAAGAAAGAAACTCGCTAAAATGGAAGAACAGGATTTTGAGTCCCAACGTTATTCCTCCAACGACTACCGATGCTTAACTGTCGCGATCTTCGGAATAATTGATCGTTTAATTGCATGTTCTCTCATCGATACACACCATTACGTGTGCACGTGCTCGCGCCGAACGAAAAACGAACAGACGTTGTGTTTCAGTCATTCCACTCGACTGTTGGCTGCCAGCACGCTAAGAACGGTTCTTGGAACGAGAAGTTTGGCCGAGATCCTGTCCGAACGCGAAACCATCTCTCACACCATGCAGACTTCTTTGGACGAAGCCACGGATCCTTGGGGTGTCAAAGTTGAACGCGTCGAGATGTAAGTATACATATGCGCTGAACTAGCCGAAATCCGTATCATTGCTCTTTAGAAATTTCGTTAGATTTTCAAGATATCGACGAAACAACAAATCTAAGAAACTCTTGTCGAAGCAATATCCGAAGAATGGCCGTGTTCTTTGTGGCGTCACTGACGTGTCTCGTACCTCCCATGTCATCTTTACGTCGTCGAATGGAACGTTTTCAACTGTCGCAGTCGAAATATTAATCGCTATGGTTACTTCCTTCTTCTTCGTCGTGTCTGAATTCAGAATCAATCGAAGAATTCGTGCCATCTGTAGGGTGTAAGATTTGTGTGTTTAGTTTAGATCGAGCGAGTAAGGCGCGAGTGAAGAGTGTTTGGGCTCCGTGACAGTTTCTGCGAATGAGAGTACGTAGGAGATAAGATCGAATGAAAGGGGCTGCTTCGTGACGTCGTGGCCGACAATCGACACGTGGTAAGAATGTGTGAATGCGTGTATGAATCGATGACCGAGCGTGACCGTGTATGACAGAGGATATAAGAGAGAAGTCATCCAGAGAGCGAGCGTCATAAGAACCAGAGTATTCTTTAAAATAAACCTTTTATTTCTACGAAATACAATCACCAGTTTAATTTTATCCCTACACTTCAACCGAGAATTCGTTTGAATTCGATACGTTCCCAAAATTTGGAATTCATTCATTCGGTATCTGTGTACCGTATTGCTGGAAAAAATGTTCGTTCTATATTAATACTTTAACGGCAATCGATAAAAAAACCGCAGATATGCAAAAGTCATTCTTTCGCCAGTCTTTCGTCTCCGTCCAACAAAAAAAAAGATCGACGCATCGGGAAACGGAAATGGAAACAGAAATGTTTCCCGTGAGTGATCATTTCGTCGAAACAAAAAATGTATTGTAAGAATAATATTAAGTGGTGGTTGTATTTGGTAGAAATAAAAGGTTTATTCTAAAATGTGTAATATAAAGAATTCGTTAGGACACGCTTGCAACAGGCTAGCTCTTAAGACACACCCGCTCTGACTAACTTCCCTCTTATACATATATCCCCTTTCATACATGGTCACACTCGGTCATAGGTTCACACACGCATTCACAAATTCTCGCCTCGTATCGATTTTCGATCACGACGTTCGACGCAGTTCCTTTCATTCAATCTTATCTAGCACGCACTCTCGTTCGAAGAAACTGTCACACGGCCTAAACACTCTTCACTCGCACCGCACTCGCTCGATCTAAAACTAAACTCACGCATCTCACACACTACAGTATGAATACCCGAGAAACGAAATGATTCGGATCGATCTCGACGCGCGAGAAGCGACGAATGGTGCTATAATAGTTGTGTACGTGAACACGCATAAACGCGGATGCTCGAGTATAGCTTCTAACCCTCGACAGGCCATCGAAAAAGGAACAGCCCTCCGCTCTCGGCCCCAATAGCCAGACGATACCGTCGCGTCGCGCGCGGGAGCCCAAAGTCGCAAAAAAAAGCTCGAGTGCTTTTCAAAGAGATCCTACCCTAGAGCATGAAAGGGACACACCCGTACCTACGTGAGTACGTGCGAACGCATACATACATATGTACACGAACCGTACCATACATACGTACCTACGCCATAACATACCAAACCACACCACACCAAGAGTTCTCCAAGACCAGTCGCCAGTCGTCGACTTTTCAATCGAATCTCTATCGTCTTTCGCGTTCGTGATCCAACGCGTAAAAGAACATTCGATGAGACGCGTGTACTTAGGTACTTGTACCGTTAACGGCAATTACGTTATTCCGAACTATGGTTTCGCAGGAAATATCCGTGTACGCTGTTTCTATATGTATATGTATATTCGTGTTAGTGTTCCCGGTCCAGTAAAAAGTGCACGGCAAGTGCATTCTTATTCCGGTCGAGTGCAACTGGCTCAAGAAAGCCGCGCTTTTTTACCACGACTTAAAGCCACCCTTAAATATATGACAGGGTACGGAGTAAACGAGGACGCGAAACACAAAACGCGAAACGCGAACGACGACTAACCCAGACCTACCGTCACGTATTCGCATAAACCGAGGCAATAATCGCGAAATTTTTCAACCGCCTGGAGCTACCACGTTTTCGACACGCTTCCTCGAAAATACGAGAATCGCCGCGAAAACTGTTTCCGCCAATCGGAAGCCATTCTCAAATGCGTTTCCCTTATCCCATCAAAATTGAAACTATTCCGACTACCGTACTATCGGTCTCTGACGTTAAAATCAATTACCTGTATTCGTTGTTTCGTTTGGCCCGCGTAGTTTCGTCACCCGTGCCAAAAGCATTCGTAATTCTATTCTGTCTATAGTTCTACATACATATATCGTAATTTTACGGTATTACGCGATCGAAACGACGATAGAGAAGACTAGATGCCGGTTATATCCTTGAATCAGCAGCTAAACCAAACGAAACGTAAGAAATGTCTCTGATTTAGAAAAGACGTTCGGCTTCCGGTGCAGTTGCAACGTGCCATGGCCACGGAGGCAGAAGCTGCGAGGGAGGCCAGGGCAAAAGTGATTGCGGCGGAAGGAGAGATGCTGGCTTCCCGTGCTCTGAAAGAGGCCAGTGATGTCATTTGCACTAGTCCGGCCGCCCTTCAGGTAAATACATCCTGAACCGTCGCGCGTCGTGTCGTCACGAACACGCTCGATCGTCTCGCTCGGTTTCGTAGTTAACACTAGACTAACTACCAAGCCAGTCAAAATGACCGGTCGATACATTCTTACATAGACGATTAAAATATTATAACAATAGATTTTCTCAGATCTTTTGTAACTTTTATCACGACATGACATTACAGAAATTGGTTAATTTATAAATTAGTAAATTTTCAAAAGTTTGCCATATTTATCGATCGATCGAAAAAGATACGCGTTTATCGTTGATATGGTATTTCTGCCGCGTAAGAAAAGAAAATTCATTTCAAGTCTATCCAACGCCTCGAAAGGAATACCACGTGCCGCTAACGAATTTTTTTACGTCAACAGCTACGATATCTGCAAACGTTGAACAGCATATCCACGGAGAAGAATTCGACGATCATCTTTCCGGTGCCGGTCGAATTTCTGACACCCTTCTTCGCCAACGGCTTCCGTGTGAATGCGAATCAAGAGACTCTTCGATCTTCGTCGGAACAACTTGCCTCGAAACCGTTCAAACTTCGATCCGACGTTCTTCCGTGCGTCGGCAACGTTGAGACGGCGAAATAATATATTATAGTATGTATATACGTACAATAAAACTATTACAGACAAGATTGACAAACAGTCATGAACGCAAGCAGCCTTGCCTTAATCGTCTTCAAGATCATTCGATTATTCGAAGAGATATGCTCGCAATCTTCGACGATGGTCGAACCGAACGAGTGGTAATCAAACATTTCAAACGAGCTAGGGAAAACGAATAGGTCCTACCTACACCTGACTGTAATCGTTAGATAGACTTAATTGCGGAGAATTTCATTCGGATTAGAGGTGAACTCCGGCAACGTGGAAAGCAAAGTAGCGTAACTGTGAATTGCACACCATGATCGTATAGTTATGTAAACCGTAATTCGTTGCATATGGGGCAATCGTTCGGGGAATGGTCCCGTCGAGATTCTTGTGAGAACGGCGGGGCGATACAGTTGCGGTACAATGCATATGGAAGTAAGTACACTCGTAGGAATTGAGATGCGCGTGCGTCGTCCCCCTTCGAGTTTCCACGTCACGTTCGAAGCGTTACAGCGTGCCGTGAAAACGCGCCCCGTCGTGGGCCCCATCGCATAGGAAACTTTAAGTCCAGGAAAAGTGAAACGTACGTGCCGCATTGCCGCGAACGTCGTCCTTATGAAACACCATAAAACGGAAATTTACATTATGAAATAATAACGGGGATGAGATACGCGTGCACGTGCAATCTTGCTTTTCTCGATCCTAAAATGAATATCGAGTTTGCGAAACATTGCCGGGGATAGATTCGAAGGCTGACAAGCCACGGGAGTCGAGTTTCGTTTAAGGTTCGAGCGACTGCGAAAAAACAACGTTCCGTTTTAATTAGTTGATAAAGATAAAAACAACAATATTCATTTCCCGGCGATGAAGAAAAACCCTTCTCGACTGGAGAAACATTAAACGCTGCAACACAAACAAGAAGCGAACGTAAAGTATAAATCTCAATTTTATTATACCGCGCCGAGGGCGTGCTTCCTTCCGTTTTTAACGGAACAAAATATCCCGCGCGTAATGTACGTAGAATATTTTATAAACAGCGGAGGAGCTTTAACGCGGACTATTATTTACGCGGAAAATTCTTGGATGAATTGTGGCGCTTGTTAGCCGCGGTCGCGACACACGGCCAGTACTAGAATTAAACGGCTCCCTGCACGGTGTTCTCTGCGCGATATTCTTGTCTGTTCCCGATGTTACCCTGAGAATGAAAATATGTAATTCGCCTTCCTGTCCTTCGTCGAGAAGGAGACCGACAATCGACATCGAGACATAGAAAGAAAGTCTCAATGACCATCGGGAAACCCTGATATCGCTTACGGAACACGATTCCGTCTTTGGGCCTTTTTTTTATTTACAATAGCAACTATAGCTGGGCTGTATCATATTATAATTGCAACAACGACCAAGCAAGGTTCAGCGTTACCGTTGTTTGCGAATTCAAACCTATACATGTATAAAAGCGACGGAGCATTCAAGATTATTAGCCTGAAGGGATTAGACAGTACATTGCGAATGAAAAAGTAAACGGTGGAGTGACAACGCAGACCCGATGTTGGGAGAACTCTGATGGAAAGCGATAAAGGATGAAAAGATGAGAGGCACGAAACTTTGTTGCGTCCTAAGCGATTCAAGTTCCATGCCTCGATCCGAACCGGTGCTTGCGCGGGCGAATTCAGTCGGTGTTAGGAATACCTATGTACGGACCGGTTAAGCCTTTGCGTTTCGACGTTCCGTGTTTGAGAGGAGCCAACATTGAAGATCGTAATTAATAAACACGCTGGTCGCCGGGATATTAATTCCTTCGACTCAAATATTTACCGGGAAAATTAATTCGTACGTTATGCGGTGAGATGTCACGCGGGTCCGCGTAATCTAGCCAAAGAGATAACCACCGGGATACATAGAGAATGTCCTACGTTTATAGGTAACAGTGGACGACATTCCGCGAGAGTACACTATTTGCGAACGTCCAAGGTTCGAGTCCACAAAATTGTTCGATACTTCTGTTACAAAGCATGTAACTTTCCGCGAGTCGTGTTCCGATTGACAAAAACGTTTCGCTTTGTTCGCCGTTCGGCGCGCCAGCGGTAAACGTTTTTCCGCTTCGCGATCGATGTTATTAGTTCGATGTTATAGGAACTAGTTTCTGGGATAAAGAGTTTTCCGGTTTGTCGGAATGACCACGACGCGACGACCGAGGTCTACGGCTAATTAATGTCGACGAACGTCGCTGTCCCATTGAAAGAAGGACGGACCGGTATTGTGTAGTTTCCTGATTCTGGTTAACGCGGAAAATGGCTGCTCACGAGAAACGACCGTTTGTGATTTATCAGAGTGGGTAAGAACAACCGGGGGAGTAAGCGAGAAAGAGAGAGAGAGAGAGAGTGTACGGAGCAAATTCTCCTGTAAGGCACAGGATGCGTTTACGAGCGTAGATCCTTTCAACGGCTCCGCGTACCGCGAATACCATTCTTCGCCGGAATAACTGGTGCGCGGTTAACGCAAGAAATTACGAGAGCTTCCAATTATGATCGTTGCCAACAGGGAACCTAAAATTACCTCGGTGAAAATGCTATCACGAAAGAGACTACTATAGACGAGTAAAATTCCAAAGATGCATGAAATTGCTATGCGATGGATTTAAAAGACGAATCCAACGAGTCACGAGATTCTTTAATCCATTCGGACAGTCAACCTGTAACGTAATAGCGAACGTGAACGGTCTTCCACGTCTGATCTATGTTTCGCTTATACCACTGAACGTACGTTCGCTCATTTTTATCGAATTCGCAGAACAGTTCGTCGGAAGCTTCTGGTCGCTCTCACTCCTAATACGAGGCAAGCTCGCATCAAAGTTCTACCAACAATTGATTCCTTGCGATAAAATCGAAAAATGTTCTACAGAAAAGTGCCTCAAACGATGTCAATGAGTTGTGTCCGCAAAAAAAGACCGCTTCATGCGACCAAAGAACTATTTCCCGTGATTATTCGTATGTTCGTATACCAATCGTCGCGTAGAATGATAGAGTATGATTTAGGTGCATCGAAAGAATCCGAGAATCATCGTAGCCAGTACTAGCGGACTCGGATTCCGGCCGAACCGAAGAAAGGAAAACAAGTCGTTTTTAACGTGGCGAAATCATAATACGACCATCAATAACGAATGTTTGAAACGTTCGTGCCTAGTGTTGTCGTTTATTCGAGCACGAAATTCGCGATTCGCTCCTTTAACGTACCGTAATTTCTTGGACGATAATTAGCAACCGCTTGCACCTCAACTGGTGCCACGTCGACGTTGGTTTACGGTTGCAATTAAAAATTTTTTAATTTCGCGGAGACCTCCTTCCCGTCCCTTGTCAGCTGCGTCCACAGGGAACTACGACGAACGTACTCTGCCCTCTTTTCCTTGTAAAAGGCTAGCTCCCGTACGACGCCACACCACGCAGCGTCGCGCTAACTTTTCACGCCATTCGTTCTTCGGCTACACTTATTTCGCTCGACCTCGACAGGAACTTTTCATCTCCACTCCCTCGCCCGTCCACCTTTCTATTCCTCTCTTTCAGTCCAAAACTAATTTTACGTTGATGCAAACATTCGTCTTCTTTTCGCAGAATATGTACAGACATCCCACGTGGAATTGCTCGTCGTAAGAATCTTTGAATGGTGTTCTTCGTTGATGGTTGATTCTGCTTGGCGGTATGCTATTTGTAAGCGGTAGAGCACGGCAGCGATCTTTGTGTGTACAGTTATATGAATTAGGAAATAAAGAATCGTCGACGGTCCCGGTAGCTGTTTAGTTGGTTGAAACATGTCTGGAAAGTGTAAAAGCCGGCTTCGAGGTCTGGTATGTACTCGATTGGTCGATTCTTTTTCTCCTATGCATTCCTCTACAAATTAAATATTATTACTGTCGCGTTTTATGTCGAACCGCTGGCATTACTGGCATTGCATCCACAAGACGCGGATGACGGCGACGATTTTTGCGGCGAGAAACGCTGCGATGGACGAGGATGAATAGGTTTCCCGTGCAATCGCCTTATCGTATCGCGGCGTCGCGGCTCGATACATACCTATTCGCCGGACTCAAGATACCGTATACCGGAGAATAACCTCGCCACGTGAAATTAAGCGATCATCACGTTCACTCCAGCTAAATTCTCGACGAAAACGTGACTGGCTAAACAATAGGAGGCTGTAGCCGTGTCATATAGCGACAGGTTCATCTTCGCTTCGATCGACTTATTTGATAATAACGCGTAATACGCAGCACGTTTGCGAATTCGATTCAAAATCGTGCGTCAGTGTTCGCTGTCAGGTTTTCCGTCTGATTGTCAGCGAAGTGGACAACGAATAAACCGCCCCGCTGTCAATGTGTTCGTTGAAAGGCGCACGATTAATCTTTCAACGAGTCGAGATCTCAGCTTCCTGAAACTTTTCGCGGATCCCTATAGACACGCTCGCGAGTCGCACGACCGGACGATCTTTCTCGCTTGCGATCCTGCTCGTTCCACGTGCCGAGAAACGCTTCACCATCCAGGGTCTTTTCCACCTGCAAAATAATTTCTCGAAGGGATAGTCTGGAAATGGGTGAGTTATGTTGTCTGGAGTTTTATGTTTCCAGCCCCCGGCTCCCGACTACGCTCTCGCACCCCTCTTCTCGAACTTTTCAAACTTCCCGAATGGTATAAAGCGAGGTAGGTACGTGACCGGGGCACCGTATACATATAGTACACGGACTAACCGATCGGACGAAACGGAACGGTCTGTCGCGTTTGTTTTTCCGAACATTGAACAACAACGATCGAGCCAATTAAAAGTTCACGGGAAATGTTTGTCGCTAAACGGCAGACATTTTCGTTTTGCTCCCAAAAAAACCGTTCCGCTTCTTCTGCCTAGCGATGCGAATCGAACAACGAACCCGATAAATATAGATACCTACATAGTTCCTTTTGTTAGTTTTCCCAGTGCGGGACTCGCTTGACCGCAGTTACAAAAAGTAT